ACCACGGCAACCCGGCCTAGGGCGATCCTAAGCCCTGAACCCTGAACCACAATTCTTATGCTTTGAGAAGGCGGGCTGACTGATGAATGTCCGCCCGAACTTCTAACCTGAGTCTCGCGGGCGACGTCGTCTGGTGCGGTGGTAAGTGCCTGTTCTCTTCCCGGCTGGTGGCACTTTAGTCCGACGGGGGGTGTCCTGGCCTGGTCTGGCTTGCTTGTTGGCTGCGGACATCCTCGCTGTCGATTACAACGTCTTGGCTCAGAACTGACCGCTGGGAACCCTACACCTCCGATCCCAAAACCCATGAAGATAAACGTTCTATAGGGTGTGCATACAGTGTACGTGCGGTGGGTGCGCCTTTTACTTTTAGGAACATGGGCGCACCCTTGCGTCAGCATGTAGTCCCGCCCCAGCCACTCGGGATCACCCCCCGAACCCCCCTCAAGGGGGACTTTCTTGCTCTCAGCTTCCCTTCACAGTTCTGATTACATTGAGCGTTTCACACCAAGCCACAGCTGTGAGGTTGTGGGCTCGACGAGAAGCAAGGGTTTCCAACAAACAACTTGCCCTTCGCACCCTGTGAGGGTCGTTTGAAGTATACACTTATAACGAGGGAAATAATGGGTCGTGGGTTTGAGGTTCTCATTGTAAAAGGCTGACGCCCGCATTGTGTGAGGCGTAGCAGAGTCTTTTCCGTCCCCTTATATATCGGGAGGCTGTACCCTCCCTCACCGTTTTGTGCAGACTCTCGGCCGCGGGCCTCGCTCGGAGCCTCGAGCGCCCATGCAGATGGTCGGTGGCGCTCTCGGCAGTTTAGGGTTTAGGGAACCTCCGTCCTCAACGTTCAAAATCCTAAGGCCTCAGACCTAGACGACCCAAAGTCCCTAAACCCTAAGACCTAGACCCTAAGTTCCTACACCCTAAGACCTGAACCCCACGATCAACTAACACTAAACCCTAAACCCACGATCCACTAACTTTGTACTGCCTGAATCCCGTAGCGTTCTTGGAGGTTCATGGGTAGTCATAAGTAAGGGTTATAAGTCCCCTAACATATGGGTTATAACTACACTTACCCTACTTATAACCCTACTTAGAACTACCCATGAACCTCCAAGTAAAAGCCCACACCCCTAACCCTAAACCCTAAACCCCTAAACCCTAAACCCCTAAACCCTAAACCCTAAACCCCTAAACCCTAAACCCTACCTATAGCTACCTATGAACCTCCAAGCAGGACCCAAGACGAGCTCCTTTCACCACCGGTTCTCCGCTCGCCGCCATGGTTTCGGCTGCCTCGCTCTAGCTTTGGGGTTTAAAGAGCTTTGGGTTTAAGATCTTAGCGTTTAGGGTTTAGGTTTAAATAAGTAAATAAATTTCAATAGATAGATAGATAGATAGATAGATAGATAGATAGAGATAGATAGATAGAGATAGATAGATAGATAGATATATATATATATATATGAAGGCTTAGGGCGAAGCCTTATATGCAATAAACCTAAACCCTAAACGCTAAGATCCTGAACCCCTATAAGCCTTTTAAACCCTAAGGGCCGAAGCTCAGGGTTCAAGGCTTTTGGTTTGGGGCTTAGGGAAGGTCGGGGGTTCGGTTGTTGAGGGTTTAGAGGGTTTAGGGTTTAGGGGTTTTGGGCTTAGGGGTTTATAGGGGTTTAGGGTTTGCGGTTTATTTAGGGGGGTTTGGTCTCTTTTTCCGTCTGTTTCGGGGTTCTAGCCCGTCTAGCGCTGATAGAGCTTACAAGGTGTAGGGGTCCTATTTACAGCTCTCGTGCACGTAGGGTACAGGTTCTGTCGTGGGCCTGATTTGCAGCTTCCGTTCTACACCTGGCGGCTTTGTCTTCACCCCCAACACCCGAAGACTTAAGTAGGCGACGCGGAGGAAGTTCTAACTTAGGATACATCTAACATAACTCTACTTGTAACCTATCTTACTAAGTCCCCTGATCCTATAAGCATGAACCATGCGTCGGCATCCTTTCTACACATGGTGGATCCTCGACTCTGCAAGCAGCTGGCGGAAACCCTGCAGGCATACATCTTCAACCCCCTCCCTGCATATAGCCCCAAAGAAGGTAGTGGGTGTTTAGTTTTTGCGGTGCTACTTTGGATTTAGAACTTTTATACTTATGCTTGCAGGCTTGTAGTCTCATACTATGCTACGCCAGAAATGCAGCGAAGGCACCAGGTCTTGGCGGACCAGGAATGGGCGCCAGGCCGCAAGAGAGAAACGAAATGCAACTGCAGGGCTAAGGCTAAACTCCGGGCTGCTGTTCACGTCACTCCAGTTTAGTCGCGCGTGTATAAAACCGACGTGCTTGTGATTGATGAGATGTCTCCCCCAGGTGCAACCACGACTACAGAATGAACTCTTCGTCACTGGAAGAGGGTTCGAGGTGACTAAACCCCGAACCCTCTATCCAGCCACACGCTGAAGTCCTCAACCCTCACAGCAATGAAGCTTGCTGCGCCACGCTCGCGAGCCATAGGAGGTGCGGTGCCGAACAACTTGCAGGTATGCTTCCAGCAAGGGGAAGTCGGGGTGCAAGGTTTAGGGTTTACCGGCCTAGAAAAACAGAAACCCGGTTTTAAGGATGTGATGTGGCTAGTAGCTTGAATATCATTAAACAAATCTTGTGCTGCCGTGTAGTAAATCTACAATGGACACTAGAGGGGCTACAAGGGAATAGGAGTAGCATGCGCCGAAACGTTCATGTACACATGTAGTACAGTCAAGCCAAGGTAGATACGACACAGGTACATGGCCCCCTGTACCCTCAACCCTAAAATAACACCTTAGCGGCGTACCCTTTCAGGACCCTTATCAAACCCTCAAGGTACCCTGCAGAAATATTGAGGTTCGTGAGCCGTGAGGGTTTGTTTGCGGTATTTGCTGTCTACTTCGAGATGTACGGTTTAGGACAATTTTTGGTATGGGCATGGGGTTGAGGGTGAAGAGGCCCGTATTATTTCAGTTATATTCTGAACCAGGTAAGACACTCGTTTCCTTGTGTGCAACTCTAAATTTACTTAGTCTATAAGGAAAGCTCGAAACTCCCAAGACTGCTTTGAACTGTAAAACCGCGAATCGCTGAATCCAGAGATTTCTTAACAACCCTGCCTGCGAGCTTCATGT